CACGTCAGTATCTGCTGACCTTCCAGGCGCACAGGCCACAGAGACGCTGGCCTCTTAGATACAGCGTTAGCCGTCGGTCACCATGGGGTTGCACCAGAGCCGGCAGGCCCAGCGGGGAGGGCCTCTTGCAGGGTTGCGATGGCAGGCACACGAGCTGGCTCCACTGGCCCCGAGTCCAGCAAGCGGCCTCACTCACCAGCCCGCTGGGGGGCATCCCTCCTTAGTGAGGACCGGGCAAAGAGGCCACTAGAGGCTTCCCACAGGGTCACTCCAACGAGCGCCTCCACTGGCGCTGACCTTGGGAGGCAGCCGGGGTTTGTCTGCTGCTGCACCCAGCTCAGGGGGGCGGGGGCAGCACTGCCCGGGCTTCCTGGGGGGAGGCAGCTGCGGGGTGCAGCATGCCAGGTGGGCAGAGCCCTCGGCTGGGAGGCACCCGTCCTGGGCACTGGTCCCAGCTCTGCCACCAATTCCTGTGTAGCCTTGGCGGGTGACTCAGAAGTGTTAGACCCAGATCACAGGTTCCATTCCCACCTGGACACTTGCTTGGCAGCAGGAACCTTGAAATGAGAGAGGAAGGCATGCTAAGGACTTGGCCTGGGAAGGCTGCCTCCCCGCCCCCCCGTCAAAGCGGCACTCTAAGTCAATTCCGAATGGAGGGACCTTCTGGAGAAAGGAGAGGAGCCAGCCAGGAAGATGGCGCGGGGGGAGGGGAGCTCAGGGGGACTTGGGACTCTGCCCAGCCCGGACCAGGTGGCTGTCGTTTGCTGGCCAGAAATTCCATCAAGCCTCACTGAGCAGGTGCTGGATCCTTTGTCTCTGGAACTTCTGGGAGCTCAGGTTCCATCTTTTCAGGAGGCTAACTCGAAACCGACCCTGTCCCTCCGTCCCAGAGGAGCCAGGGCCGGCGTCCGAGGGCCTCATAAATGTTAATGGGCAGGCAGGAGGACGGCCTTTCTCAGGAGCAGGTGTCCACACGGGCTTGGCTTCTCTGCCCACTGGGCTGCACCCACACCCGCCAGGCCCCCGGGGCTGGAGCCACGGCGGTGGCTTGTCCCCTCCGCGGGGCTCTTTGCCATCTGTGTCTTCATAAGAACGTGATGCGTCCTTCTCTTGCCTAATTTGGAAGTTGAAAAAAAGGGAAATAATCCTACAATCCAGAGATAGCCACAGTGTCCATCCCAGTATGTTTCCTTCTCGGTCCCTTCAGGCTGGAGAAGTTTAGAACTCAATGGCCTTGGCTCCGTCCTTCTCACTTTATTGGAAACCAAGGCCCAGGGACGGGTTCCCCACAGCACTTAATTATTTGTGGCGGACTCTAACAAAAACCTGGTCTCCTGGCTTCACGTTCACTCTGCAGGGATTTGTGGAAACGGAAACTGTCCCAAAGAGGCCAGGCAGGAACAGGGAAGGACTGGGAACAGGGTGGGGCCGTGCGAGGACTGGGGCTACGCTCCCCAGTAAGGGCTGGAGGGGCGCGGGCACCGCACTCACCGCCCAGCAGCCAGCTGGCCGCCGCCACTTGGAAACCGACCACCCATCGGGTCCTGACAGGCACCGTTGAGAGCGGGGCTGGGGTAGTGGATTTCAGCCCACTGGGAGGAAGGCGCTGGCGGCTCGGCCGCCCGCACCAGGTCACCTCCATGGTTAGGTCCCAGCCCACGCGTCAGCCCTACAAGCCCGGGAGGCATCTTTCCCCTGGGACAGGGCCACGCTTTTGCACATGCCACGCCCAAGCACTCCGTGGACGGGGCATCGAGGCGGGTGACTCCGGGACACAGGAGAACTACGTGGCCTCCACAGTGGCTTCTGATAGCACCACACAGGGTGCAAATAACATGACACCAGGACAGACGGGAGAGAACCAGGCATCTAGTGCCTGGGGTTTCCTACCAAGGAAGCACTGCAAATGGCGTTACCAGGGATTTCCCAAGGGATCCTACACAGTCCTGGGGGAGGGGTCCTCCTCCCGGCCCCTCCACCCTGCCTCCGCCAGGGGCCGGCCGGGCCAGGAAGGCGGCGGGCATCTCTGCCGAAGACACCCGTGGGCCACTGCACAGACACCATGCCAGGCCTCAGCGCCCACCTCTAAACCAGAGGGAGGAGCTGTACTTTAGAATGTTAAGGACCCTCGGAGCTCAAAACAGACTCACGTTTCTGAGTCTGAGTGGATGGAAGGTCTTATGCAACCAAAGATTGTCTCTTCCCTCTGCTCTACAAGTCCAGCTGTATAATTTTAAAATAGGTCTCCAGTGCAGGGGCCAGAGCCCCTGAGGACCTGTCACACTCCCCCGCCCTGAGGACCAGGCTGGTAGAGGGGGTTGGGAGGAATCCAGCTCAACAGGCAGAAGAAGGGCCCAGCACAGGGTCACCCTGGACCACTGTGTGGGCAGCGGGCTGCCGTCTGGGGTCCTGACCAAGTGACCAGGCCAGTCCAGCAGACGCAGAGACCTTTGCGCAGCCAGGATTGCCTGTGCTTTGTAAGACCTTGGTCCCGGGGTGGGGCCTGGGCAGAGTGAGGGTGGGCTCCAGCCCTCAGACCAGGTGCTAGACAGGGTCCCCGGGGCAGACTCCAGACTCAGGCCGTGGGCTCCACAGCAGAGGCCCAGTCTAAGGACAAGGAAGGGGCCCAGTTCCACCCAGAGCCTCCAGCCTCGGCCACGGAATGCGGGGCTGGGACACCTCGCTCCCTCCTGCCTCGGCCAGGGTGCGTGGGGCAGGGGTGGGGAACAGCCATCTGCTGCGCGACACCAGGCAGGGGCCGAGCACCACCGGAGGCGGCAGCATGGTTCTGGCAACGGGCCAGCCTGCCTCCGCCTTCTTTGCTCCCCCTTCCCCGAGCCAGTCCCAGCCCATGTGAGGGACTGTAAGGAAGAAGGTGGCATTCTTCACATAGTTGGAGTGTGGCTCAGCCACTTGCTGTCCATGCAGCCCCAAGCAAGTCACTTGTTCTGGGCTGTTTGCTCACCTCCTACAAGTCCTCATGGGCGCTGCCTTATAGGGCTGTGCAAGCTAAAATCAGTTACAGGGAGGAGAGTGCCAGTGTCCTTGTGCCCTTACTCCAGTGTCCCGAGACCTGGGCCCAGCCAAGCAGGCGAGGCAAGCGCTTGTCCCTCCGGGACCTTTGTAATTGGGAATGTTTATTTTCTTTATTAAACTCAAATTTTTCTAATGTCTATTAGACTGAACATATATTACATATTATTTATAGTCAGAAAAACAAATGTTTAAAAAGCATATAATTATATGTTAATAAATAAAGCCAAAATAAAAGTACTTAGAGCCCTGGCTGGTGAGGCTCAATGGATAGAGCACTGGCCTGCAAAGCAAGGGGTCCACCGGTTCAACTCCTGGTCAGGGCATATGTCTGGGTTGCAGGCCAGGTGTCCAGTGGGGGACGCACAAGAGGCAACCACACATTGATGCTTCTCTCCCTCTCTCCCTCCCTTCCCCTCTAAAAATAAAATCTTTTTTTTTTTTTTAAGTAGAGAAAGGGAAAGAAAACTAACATATATTGCCTGCCTACTATGCGCCAGGCCACCACACCAGATACTGCATGAGTCACCTCTGCAGAGAGTCCACAGCATCTCCTGCCGTCCCCTAAGAGCAGCAGGAGACGCTGAGTCAGGGGTCGGTCAGGCAGGTCCGCCCAGGGAGTTTTCCTCGAGTGCTGGGCAGCCTCTCCTCCAGCCGCCCGGCCCTGGCCCACTGCCTGCTGTCGGGGTCTGCCACGCCGGAGCCGAGAAGGCGGCAGGCCGTGGCTGATGCCGGTGGGTGCCAGGGCCCAGGGCGGCGCGTCTGAGACTCTCGAGTCTGGAAGCTGCTTCTGGGCCAATAAATGACTGCTGAGCAGAGAAAAGGATTCAGCCCATGTTGCATCGCACCTGGCAGTGGAAATAGAGCCTTCATGGATGGGTGGATGTGGCACTGCAGTGTAAGAAGGTGCTCACCCAGGGCAGTGGCTTCCGCTGCTGGGGCTACGCTAGGAGCGCCTGCCTGGGAGGCACACAGGGCTCCTGCGCCGGGCAGCAGGTGGTCCCAGGCTCAGAGGGTCTGAGCTTTCAGATTCTGTCACCCTGTCCCCCCGTGTCCCTGATCCAGGCACAGCCCGCTCACTCCTCAGCTGGCAGATTTTGTTGAAGGCTGATGTTGCTGTCACCTCATCCTGGAGGAGACAAAGCACCTAGTCAGCGAGGCAGGAGGCCAGCTTGAGTCATGCCGCATCACGAGACTCCCTACAGTTCCCCAGTGACCCCTGAGCTCACCAAGAGAAGGAACAATCGGCTCTTTTGCAGAGTGGCGCAGAAGCCTGGCTTCTCTTACAAACGTGACACAGCACCAGCCCTGTGTGAATTCGGTGCATGCGCAGGCCTCCCATGCAGGGCCCAGGACAAGGATGTGGCCCAGGGAGCTGTGTGCAGGCCACCTCTGCCACCTCTGCCTCCGCCCACTGTCCCCCACCCCCCAGCTGCAGGCCCGCAGGTGCAAGAAGAGGGCGGAGGGTCCCAGACCGTGGCTGGACCTGGCTCTGGCACCTACCTGCTTCAGGGTCATTCCTTTGCTCAAAGGCCAGGGCAGAATGGATCTTTAGAGTTTAGTAGTGCCAAGTCCACTGGTGATTTTGGTTGCAACAGGCCTGTGGGACGTGGAGAGGCCAGATGTTAGAGGGTTGAGAGACAGTAGCAAGGGAGGGAGTGACAACAGCAAACGTAGTTGGAGAGGGGAGTCGAGGAGTCGGTAGCCAAAAGGGATAATTTGAACCACCTGAAAATGGGATCCTGCGCACAGGCTGTGAGGGAAGAGCCACGAGAATGGGAGAGCGATGACTGAGAGGACATGGTGGGGCGGGGTGTTACTCAGGTGTGAGGCCCACTGCTGAAGGGCCAAGGACTGCTCGCGTGGGAGCGACCAGGAGAGCGGAGACAGGCCCCCGGTTCCAGGCGTGTCTGCCAAGCTGTTCTTCCCTGCTAACCAGGGCGCTTCTGTGCTTCTCTGCCCCACAGGCCCCGCCACCCAGCGTCAGGTGCAGAATGGCCCCTCTCCTGATGAGATGGACATCCAGAGAAGGTAACCGCCCACCCAGCAGGCCCGCCTGGTGGCTGGGGCCCCCTTGAGCAAGCACAGGGCACCCCTGCAGTAACTAGGGCCAGGGCTCCCAGACGCTCCGGTGTGCACAGCGGAACAGGCCTGAGCAGAAAGGAAGAGGGAGCAAGTTCATTGCTGCTTTGCCCGAGCCTGTGGTTTCACAGAGAGTGCCCTGCCTTCCTGCCTGGCGGCCCTCACAACGAGCCCGGCAGTGTCCTGAGTGCCGGTCACTCTCAGTGTGCCCCTCCCGGGCGTGTGAGGAGGCAGTTTTCACGAGGCAAAGGGATTCGGTAACGTTGCCAAGGCCGCCCGAGTCTGTCTGACTGAGACCCTGGCCTGGGCACTGTCCTGTGCCATCTCCTCTCTCTCTGTCTGAAGGCCACTCCCTGCTGGAGTTTTGAGCAGGAGCCGCAGCCTCTCTGGAGAATCCCAGCCCCCTGCCCGCTCACCCCCCAGGAAGGTTAAAGCAGCAGAGGCCGTGAAAGCTGGGCCATGCTGACATGCTTGTGGGGCCAGCCTGTGGAGGAGGCAGCTCCCAGGCGACACGGACCGTGGGGCAACACCCCCTGCCCTTCCAAGCATCTTCCGCAGTGTTAGGACTGGGAGGGAGGGCCCGTGCTGTTGTCCTGACATGGCAGAAGAGGTCACGGTGGCCAAGGATGGAGCAGCCTCCCCAGGTCTTGCTGCCGGGGAAGGCAGGGCCAGGGCTTGCCCCAGGCTGCCCTCGCCCCACCGGGCTCTGCTTCTCTGTGAGGCCATGTGTCCAGCTCTCGGGGCACTGTGCTAAGCAGGCAGGCCTGGCCCGCTACCCTCATCCAGGTTCTGGGGAAGGGCGCGGCCTGGGGCCTCGCGGCTGGCCGCCAGCAGGGCCCCGGGCTGGGGGCAGGGGTCTGCGGGGATTCTCTCTTCCGGCCTCTCCCTCAGGCTGAGGAGAAAGCGCTCTCTGAGCCGCTCGGGCTCTGAGTGTGTCCTTAGGGGTCCACGCTGCCCCTTGCCCTTCCTTTCCCCATTTGAGTTGACAGGTTTTGTTTGTTTTGCTTTGTTTCAAGATAATACTATTATCTATTCTTTTGGGGGGGGTCTGTTTTTAATTAAAGTTCACACTTGATATTATTTTGTCCTGGTTCAGGTGGGCAGCATGATGGTTAGACAGCCATACAATTTACAAAGCGCCCCCAATACTCCCGGAACCCACCTGGCAGCACACAGCACAGTATTATGGACTGTACTCCCTACTCCCTACACTGTCATCTGCATCTCTGTGGCTGTTCTGTGACTACCAATTTGTACTTCTCAACCCCTTTACCTTTTTCACTCAGCCCCCCAACACCCCTCCTCTCTGGCAGCCATCAGTCCATTCTGTGTATCTGTGAGTCTGTTTCAATTTTGCGTGTCCATTTAGTGTGTTCTCTAGATTCCACATACGAGTGAGATCATATGGTACTGTTGTTCTCTGTCTGGTCTGTTTCACTGAGCACAGTGCACTCCGGGTCCATCCGTGCTGTGAAGATGGCAGCGTTAGTCCTTGCTCTGCTTATCTCAAACAAGGAGGGCAAGGTGGGAAGATGCGCTTCCTAGAGAGATTCCCTTGTGCTAATTCCCATGTTTCCTGATTCCCAGGCCTGTCTTCCAGCCTCGGGAGTACAGCAGCTTACAAAGGGCCTTACCCCTCTGCCTCATGGCAGTCCTCGTACTGACCCTTGGGCTTGTGCTTACGGGTGCTGCCCCTCACAGGAGCCTGCTGAAGCTCAGGGGATGGAAGGACTGGCCCAAAGTAGCCATCGGTCAGAGGCAAAGCCAGGACTGGCGCCTAGTCCAGCCCAGCTCAGCGCCCTGCCAGGTCCCACGAGTGCGCCCGGCCAGGCCGAGAATGCACGCACGGGGCATACAGGTCTCAACAGACCCTTCTGTTGCGCTCTCAGAATTGGGTAAAAACACCACACTGCATTCTCTCCACCCACAACCCAAGTGCAAGTTGTGGGAGGCCACTGGCTGCAGACAATTCAAGTTCAGTGCTGCCAGCAGTCAACTGTCTGCAGGCTGGAGCGCCCCTGGAGGTCAATCTGTGAACTGCAGGAGGCACACCCTGGAGCAGGGGCCCAGCTATACCACTCAACCCAGAGGGAGGCCCAGGGAGGGAGAGATGACTGACCCCAGGCCACGCAGTGAGTCAGTGGCTCCAAGCACAGAAACCTTCTTGTTTTCATGCAAACAGTATCATAAGTTCAGGCCTGATTTTTAAATATTTCCAAACACCTTCATTTCGCTGAGGGCTTCTGAATATGGGTCCTGCTTGGGAGATTAGAGTTTTGGGTAATGTTTCAGCAATTTGGATGGAGAGGCTAGTGCGGCGCTGCTGAGAGATTTTTGAACACCGTTAATGCCAAAGGACCTTTTCCATTATTTTTTAGGTACCAGGCATAAATCTTAAAAGAACCCCATGAAACCGGTGTAATTGTGCTTATTTTATGGAGAAGAGTCTGAGGCCCAGGAAAGGGAAAGGCTTTCCCGCCATCCCAAAGCCAGGAACCCCAAAACAGGGGCCAGAAAGCCCCCTACCTCCACATGGTCTTCGCAGTGAACTGTGGGTCCCACTTGACTGTCCTCAGGGGAAAGCATCCGGACAGGGCGCACATATTATTCCTGCCCTCACTGAGCGGCTGCTATGTGCGGGCCCCGGGGCCAGGCACCAGAGGGGGCCGGCTCGCTGTGCACCGGGCACGGCCTCACGACCCACAGCCTCACGCCCTGCGGGCGCCCTTCCACCGCCCCTGCCACGCAGGCACCATGGCTTGCCTCCCACATGCTCCCCCACTGGGCCCAGGCTGGTATCTGAGGCCCCTGCCCCGATTTGGAGAGCGGGCATTAGGGGAGGCACCGTGCCGGCGAGACCCGCCGCCTCCCTGGCCTGGTTCCTTGAGCCCCTGCCACTCTGGGGTCTCGGTCCCAGATTCTGCAGATGTGTTTGTGGGTCCGTGTCCTCCCTTGACCAGCCCTCCAAAGCCCCCCGAAGCCGCTCTGCCACAGGAGCTCGGGGCTGGATCCCACTGAGGCACACACAGCCTGCATCGCCCTGTACCCGATGGCCCTGTCCATGGAGGCCAGGCCTGCGGCTAGATCTGTGCTGCAAAGGACGAGCACGTGCCGCTGGAGTGCCTGCTTCTCCTGAGAGCCCTCAGAGCCTGGACATTGCCCCAGGCGCAGAAGGAACAGAAGGCCTGGGGCTGGGGCGGCCGAGGCTGACGTCGCCGTCAGTCAGGGGCTGGGGCTGAGCGCCCAGCCAGCCTCGGGGGGCTCGGGCACTCGGCCACATGGTCACCCAAGCCTTCGTGTGGCCCCTGTTTGGGGACGTTGAACCAGCCGTGTGCCCACCTCTGTTAAGTGCAGGCAGCAAGCTCGGTGGCCATCCAGGCCAGGGGCAGGATGCAGAACGCTCGCTGGGAGCCCCCCAACCCAGGGCGCCCAGAGCCGGTGAATCCCGGCTCCGCAGCCTGCGCTCTGTGGACGCAGCACAGGGAGTCAGGCCTGCCCCGCCCTTGTTGCTTTTCAGACAAGTGATGGAGCAGCAGCACCAGCAGCAGCGCCAGGAGTCTCTAGAGAGAAGAGCCTCCGCCACAGGTGAGCGCAGCCCCCGCACCTAGGTGGCCCCAGGGGCACCCCGGGCCCTCTCTGAAGAGCTGCCGGTCATACGGGTCTCAAAGTGTGGCAGTCACATCCAGTGAGAGTAGGGGAGCCAGAGGACAGGGCAGAGGGCGGGGAGTTAGCTCCGCTCGGCCGGCCCCTCCCCACCGGCCTCTGGTGCCAGGTGCGGAGGGGAGACAGACAGGGCGCTGCCCATCACTCAGCACTGCTCCCTCCCGTGCGCCCACGTCAGCCCTGCCGCCCACAGCTACCTGCCATAGTCCCAGAGGCCAAGGGCCACTCGCAGTTGCACCACAGGGACCGATGTTTGCTGATACCTAGGAGGGTGCGAGATGAGGAGAAGGAACAGAGGAGGAGCAAAGGGGCAGCGTGTGCCCCCACAGACCTGCCCCTCCCACTGGAAGCCCATAATTAGATCAGGACAAAGCCAGCTGAGCTCAGGGCCATGGGCAACTACATGGCGCCACAGCTCCAGCCAGGCCCATGAACGTTGGGGAGCCGGGGACCCACACAGGGAGTGACCGGAGCAGGGCCCAGCTCACCCCCGGGGGGTGGTAGGGGCAGCCTGCGTTGTCCCTCTGCCCCTGCTCTCTCCCGGGGAAGCGCAGCTGGGCGGGGGTCTGACTGAGCCCACTGGTGTGTTTCAGGACCCACCCTCCCACCGGGGCACCCCTCATCGGCAGCCAGCGCCCCCCTCTCCTGTAGCGGGCCTCCGCCCCCGCCCCCGCCCCCTGTCCCACCACCACCCACGGGGGCCACGCCCCCGCCCCCGCCCCCACTGCCAGCCGGAGGAGCCCAGGGCTCCAGCCACGACGAGAGCTCCGTGTCGGGACTGGCCGCCGCCCTGGCTGGAGCCAAGCTGAGGAGGGTCCAGCGGGTAAGTGTCCCTGCGCACAGGCAGGATGGGCTGGAGGACCAGCGTCCAACCGTCCAACTGCCGAGTGGACGGAGCTTCCCCTCGTCCACGACCCCGAGCACAGAATGGCCCTTCCCCAGCCAGGACTGCCCCTCAGCCCACCACTCGGAGTGCGGAATGTGCGGCGCGGCCCTGTGTGGACTCCGAGGGGCTTTGGGCCATGGAACCCACTGCCGGCCCTCGTGGGGACCTTCACAGACGCGGCAGGAACTGCCCCCTTTACAGATGAGACTGGGGCCCAGGCGTCTGATCAGCATGCTCATGCCAGTTGACCGGCACAGTTTCGACTGTGGCCGGGGCTCACCGCTCCGTGCGCGTTAGTCACAGGGTCGGCTCCCTCGGGCTCGGTCTCCCTTCCCGGGCCCTTCCACACGTGTCCGGGAAGGTGGGACTCGGGGAATGAGGCCGAGAGGCTGTGGCTCTCGCACAACTGGTAGAGGGTTTGGCTCCCTCCCCAAGAACTGTCTCCCCCTCATTCTGGGTCACACTGCACCAGTAAACCTGGGACGTGTCTGCTATGGACCCAAAGGGCCTGGTCCCTCCCTGGCTGTGTCACCTGTGGGGCTGGGAAACACCGACCTCGGCGGCCCCTCAGGCCTCTTCCAGCACTGCAGTCGTGGGAGTCACACGTCTACACTCGTGTTCCTGTCGTCCCCTCAAGTGACGCCCTGCACAGACGGCGGGCTAAAATGCTGCGTCCTTTCCCCTCAGCCAGAAGATGCGTCTGGAGGCTCCAGCCCCAGTGGGACCTCCAAGGCCGATGCGAGCCGGGCGAGCAGCGGGGGCGGCGGGGGCGGCCTCATGGAGGAGATGAACAAGCTGCTGGCCAAGAGGTGGGTGTTGGCCTCCCCAGCCTCGGCAGGCTGTCGGGGAGCCCCTGCCCTTAGCCTGTGCGCGTCCTTGCCTGGGCCCGCGGCGCGTCGTCTGCGGGGTTCAGCCCTGCGGCGACCGTTTCACTTTCCTTTCTCACGGGGTCAGTCCGAGGCATCAGGCCGAAAGCAGTCCTGTGAACTCTGAACCCCTCTTCATTTCCATTTAACAAGTACTGAAGCATCTCTTCTGTGCAGCTCAGTCCTGAGCAGAGAGGACTTCCACGACAGTTTTGGAGATAAATGCAGAAGGAAAAGAGAAGTACACCCTGCCCTTAGGGTCTCAGCATGAGCAAGTGTGGCCCAGGGCTAGAAGGGCTCAGAGTGCACCACGGGAGTGCAGGGCCAGGGGTCGTGATGGAGGACACAGGAAGGGGGATGGTGAAGCGGCCTGGCCCAGAGGTCATCACCCCTACGAGGTGGAAGACCAGTCCTATCCACGTCACAGTTGGGCCCTGGGGTCTGGGGCCTGCCATCTACCTCTCTGTCCACACCAGCCGGTGCTGCTCCAGCTACCCAAGGCCGTCAGCCTGTCGCTGTGGCTGTGGGCTGTTCCCCAGATGAAACCTGAGCAGATGGGGACGTCACCCAGCTCCTCTAGCAAGGGTTGCAGATCTTTATTTTACTTTCAAATGCGGCACGGTGGCCGGAGCGAGCTGAGGCCAGGGCATCCGAGGGCCCAGGAGCAGGCCTCGCCTGTCAGGACGCTGCCTGTGGTCCCAGGAAAGCAGGGCGGGGGCCTTGCTCCAGCAATGACCCCTCCTGCCTGCGGCCACCCTCCAGGCCTTTCCCTCTGCCCTCCTAGCCGGCCCACCCTGAGCGCGGGCTCCCTGCGCACCTGGGTTCTCCTGGTCCTCTCTCGCCTCCTTAAATCTTGAAATTCACACGGCTCTGGGAGGCGGGAGCACAGGCCCCCGACCTGCAGGTGGCTGGTCTGATGCTTTGCTGCAGGGACAGAGCTGCGTCTCCTGCCCCAGGTCTGCACACACACAGGCTGACCCACAGCACAGGGCTTTCCCGAGGAGCCTCCAGCTGGGCCCGACGTACAGAGGGACCCGAGAAGGGGACAGCCAGTGACTAAAGGGGTGCAGGGTGACTGCGACTGCACGTCGTTGGGGAGACAGCCAGGATGGCTTCGTGGAAGAGGCTTCCCACGTGCCAGGCCGTGAAGGGCGGAGGTGCGAGGGGAGAGCAGCGTGTAGAGAGCAGAGTGGGGCGCGGCGGGCGGGGTCAGCACCTGGGGCGGCTGAAATGGCCCCCTCCGGCGGGCACTTGCAGTCCATCTCCGAGAAGTGAGCGAGGCCTCCTAGGAAAGCCAATGGTGTTCTTCAAAAAGAAAATATTCACGCTTTTGGTTAGTCCAAAACCAACACAGTAACAATAACAGCTTGGCCAAGATAGCCTGGACCAAAGGGAGAGGAAGTTCCCAGGAACAGGAAGAGGCCGCAGGAGCCAGTGAGCCGCCCAGACGCGGGGCTCGCCCTCCCGAGAACAAACACACTCTGCACAACTCAGCGGGGATTACTGGAGCCGCTCTTTGAAGTGCACCTTGGTGAGGGGTGCTGGGTGGGCCCGACAGCTTTTCTGCAGCTGGTGGCAGACACCAGCCTCTGTCTCCGAGCCCTCCTCCCTGCAGCAGAGGCAGAATCGGGGTCGCGCTGAGGGTCCCTGTGTAATCAGCACTCCCACGGACGCTCAGCCCCGAACCTTCCTGGAGCTGGGTGGCCTGGCCGGCTTTGGGCAGCGGCAGAATGTCACAGGGCAGAGCAGCAGCGGTGGGCCGGTGAGGACACTGCTGCCGTCCCAGAAGCGGTGTCGTGGCTTGCACTGATGGTCCAGAGTGAGAAGGGGCAAGGCGGGTTCGAAATAATGCAGAGGGAGAACTACCAGCCTTACTGTTGGAGGGAAGGAGGGGTAGGTGTCTGAGCGGCGAGAGCTGGGTAAAGCTGCATTTCCCGAGCTGAGGACGCTGAAGGGGCCCCTGTGTGGCTGAGGGGCCTACAGTGTGGGCCCTGGCGCCGACCGGTGACCGCCGGCTGGTGGCCCCGCCCACTCACCAGGCCAGCGTCCCTGTTGTTGGGGACTGCCAGCTCTGACAGTCACAGGCACTGGCGGCTTCACAGAGCTGAAGCGCCCAAGGGCGTGACCGGGGGAATAGCAAGGGTCTGTGTGTGCGGACTTGGGAGTTAGCCACAGGAGGGGACCCCTGAGGAAAAACCGCAGGGAGTTCTGAGGGTGTGGAAAGAGAACCCACACGTGGGGGACACGGGCGGGGGGCATCAGTGGGGGTCCGTGCTGGGGTAACACAGAAAGGCCCTTCCTCCCTCCCACAAGGTGGTCTGCTCACCCGGGCAGGGCGGCCTGTGCGCGGAACGTTCCCACATCCTGCCTGTGGCAGGTTGCAGCCCAGAGGGGCCCCACTCCTGGTCCCGTGTGGCCAGGCCTTGAGCAGCCTGGAAGACAGCTGCCGCCCAGATGAACCAGCACCCCGGGCCCCCCATGCTGCAAACCACCTTCCAGCCCGCGGGTGCTCGGACAGAGGGCAGTGCCCCCAGGCCCCACCCTGTCTGGCCTGGGCACTCACCGGGCGTTACCACAGACCAGATGGGCGCTCAGACTGCCCCCTTCACACAGCGCAGGGTCCCGATCCCCCCACGGTGCTCTCTGCGGACGAAGCTGTGTCCGCACACACAGGGGGGTGAGAAAACTGCCAGGCGCTGAGTTGTGCCCTCTCCCCCATGCACCAGGAGAAAAGCAGCCTCCCAGACAGACAAGCCGGCCGATAAAAAGGAAGATGAAAGCCAAACGGTGAGCGAACGCCCCTTCGCCCGCCCCACCCGTGTGAATCCACCGGGCAGGCTCTCTGGCCCCAGGCCAGGCCCCTGGGGCACTGGGGTGCATTGGGTTTGGACATTTGTGTGACAGGTACTTCACCGGGAAATACATGGGAGGGATTGGATGCCGGGGACAGGAGGGCCTGTGGAGCGCTCGTGTCTGTCCCCACAGCACCGGGCCGCTGGCCTTTGCCCCCTGAGAGTCTAGACGCTGCTCTGCTTAGGGCTCACCGAGCAAAGGCAGAGGAGCGGATCCCGCCCACAGGCGCCCCGAGGGAAGCCTGGGGCCTGGGAGCAGGGAGGGGCCACGCAGACAGATCTGGGCCTCCTGGACCAACTACTGGGAGACCAGGGTGGTTTTTATTTTCCAGTTATTTCTGTTCTTAAAGATGCCTTGAGTCCATTGATGCCAGCAGGCCTGGGCAGAGGGACCAGCACTCGGGACCCCACCCTCCCTGGGCGTCCTGGAGCCGAGTCTGGCCACACAGGCTCAAAGCAGCCGCTCCCACTTTGGGGCCTTGTTCTCTTTTCCCCTGTGTGAAGCTTCTCCTAGAAAAACAGTCTCCTGTTAAGATGGCTAAGTTGAGACCTGAACTACAAATGGCATACAGGCTGCCTCTGAGTGGCAGAAGGAGACAGAAGAAATACAACCAGATGTAACCCCTGGGCTCCAGCCCAGCCCCTGATTTTCCTGGCTTCTGGTCCCCATGCTGGAGCCGTGCAGCCCCCTCAGCCCCACCATGGCCTTCCCTTCAGCCTGCACTTCTCTGTAAACTTCACTTTGTGGGAAAGAGCCTCCCCCCGGGCTGGGTCAGGTCTCTAGGACTTAATTCCCTGGGCCACATGCGCACACACGCACACGTGTGTGTCCTCGGGCCCTTGGCACAGACCAACGCCCCACCGGGACTTGGGGGTTTCATTTATTAATGATATTCATTATTTCGCTGTTTATCAAAGTAACGCATGTTCCTTAAAAAACCCCGAGGTTTTCTAGCTGACCCTGCCCCACCAGCCTTTGGAACCAGGCTGACGCCCGGCCTCCCCTTCCCGTTACAGGAAGAGCCGAGCATCTCTCCATCTCCGGGGACCCGAGCAGCCAGCCAGCCACCTAACTCCTCAGGTAAGAGGCTGCCCTGCCCTGCACTGGGCCAGGTCATAGAGCAGGAGGTGCTCCCCCAGGAAGATGCTCGGACGCCACCACCTCTCTTTACGGATGAGCAGAGGCAGCCAAAGGGGCTGCACTAGTGGGGTCTCCCTGCCACCGTCCCCACAGCCGCCACTCCGGGAAGCCCCAGGCCCCCTCAACAAGCCCAGGGCAGGCTTTGGCTGGGCCCCCTACACTGAGCTCCAGCTGGGACAGTGTGCCCGGCAGGCATCAGGGCTGGCCAGCCCGCAGAGCCCACACAAGAGAAGCAGCCTATCTGCCCGCACCTGTCAGGCAACAGCAGGTGGCCCTGGGGCTCAGGCTCCCTGCCTTGGGCCAGGGCTCTGAAGGGGAAATCAGACCGAACCCAGCTCAGCAACGCTCAGCAACCCACAGTCTACGGTCTGGGACATGGCGTCCAGGGAGGGGGGTAATTAGAAGAGTGGGGAGCACCGGAGTTTGTCACTCCGTCACTCAGTAGATGTGTGTGGTCAGCGTCTGCTCGGTGCAGGAGGGACAGGCAGAGAGGACAGAGGCCGGGCGCCCCAGCCGAGGAGGCTCCAGCTGCTGCGGCTATCTCGCGGGGCCTGGGGCGTGGCTCCACCCTGTGTCCTGGCGCTATACTGGCGCGCCTGCCTCCCCATGCGACTGTGTCCATGTCCCCTTCCCAGAGGGTGCCACATGGATTTGGTGACCGATGATGCTCATGAGCACCTCACATCCAGGGCACGTGTTAGATGTTTTCCCAGTTTAGGAGGTCGATGCTCAGTGTGGTCATGTGGTTTGCTCAAGGCCACATGCCTGCAGCTTGAATGTGGTCCCAGCTCTTGTACCTCAGGCCCAGCGTGCGTCCCAGGGGTGGCTTTCAGGAGGCCGGCCTCAGACCTGTGGTCAGGCTCAGTGCCAGCGGGTGGCATCCGTGCCGCCCTGCGCGCTTTCCTTCTGCCTCGCTGCTCGTCCTGCAAAGTCAGTGGATTCAATTCAGCTCAACACATCTCTTGAAAAAAAAGGAAATATAACTTAATACCACTTAACTTTGAAAAGAGAAGGAAAGACAGAGCGGCCCTTAAGCCCAGGATGAGAAGGGCCAGCTGCAGTGCCTGTGGGGAGGACCAAGGAGTCAGTGGACAGCGGGTGCTCGTGGAGCCCCAGGGCCTGGCCCCCAAAAGCAAATGTGGCCCTCGGGCTGGCTGGGGGTGCAGGGTGAGGGGCCCCCCGCCCCGCTCGGCCCACGGCTCTGGAGTCGCAGTTGAGAGGCTCCTTTGCCACTTATTTCAGGGTCCAAGGAGAGTGGACTTTCCATGCTGTGGACTTGAAACTAGACCAGAAGTCAAGGTCAACCGGGTCCCAAGTGAGGGAGATATGGGGTGACCACAGCGTCACCCACATCCCTTCAAGGGCTGCCTGGGCCAGTGGGGAACTGAGAATAGGCCAGGCTTCAGCTCCGCCAAAGCAGAGCCTTCTGATGGGGGCTCTGGGGGGCCTCCCGTCAGGGATGTTGGGTGGGGACCGGGAGCCCTCTCAGCCCTGAGGCTCCTTGTCCATGACGCGATTGACAGAGGCCGGCCGGAAGCCCTGGGAGCGGAGCAACTCCGTGGAGAAGCCCGTGTCCGCACTACTGTCCAGGTGAGCAGCCCCGGCAGTCTCAAGCTGCATGCGTGTCCAGCGGGGCCGCAGCGCCCACGGCGCCCACTCACGTGTCCGTTTCATTCCACTGCCCTAGAACCCCGTCTGTGGCCAAGAGCCCCGAAGCTAAGAGCCCCCTCCAGTCGCAGCCTCACGCTAGGTATCGAACCACCCCGTCTCTGGGGCCTCCTTTTTCCCCTGCCGGGACTAACACCCCAACCCCGTCCCATGTCCTATCATCTAACAGTGACTCTGGGGAAGAGCGATCTGTTCTTCTTTCAGACCCGGGGCAGGCAGCGCTGGGGGACTGCTCCTTCCGCTCCCCTCAGAGAGGGAGGGGCTGGGACCTGGGGGGGTCGGCCCGCCCAGCGGGGCAGCGAGCAGGGTGGAGAGCGAGCCCCAGGTCGGGGCCCACTGCCTGCGTCCTCGGGCAAGCCTTCGCCCCACCCCCTGAAGAGGTCTGTCCGCCTCTGCCTCACAGTCATGCGGACAGCTGTGGGACAGCAGCTTGGACCCAGGAAGTGCTCCCTTGCCACAGCTGTGTCCCACAGCACAGCCATCCCGGACTGGCCCGGCGCCCACCTCCTCACCGTCCACCGTGTACACACCCACAGCCGGGGACCCGGGGGATGCTGACCACATTTCCCAGGCCAAGAGCTGTGGTGGTGACAGGATAAGACATCTGAAGCTGAGGCTGCCCCAGGAGGCAGGGGCACACAGCCCCGTGGTTGCCCAGGCCGGGCTGCAGGCCTCGAGAGCCCGCACTCTGGCCTGGCCTGGCCGGAAGGGCGGTGGCAGACTCGATGGGCAGGAGGTGCACATCGCAGGGACAGCTGGCGTGTGCCGAGGCCCATGGTCCGCCAGGTTCTGGGTGGGCCCTGCAGGCCCCGGCCTGCGAGGCACCCACCTCTCTGTGGGCAAGGCCTGGCGAGGGTCAGCTATGGGCTCTGGAGCCCGAGGGGGTCGCATGGAAGACAGCTCCAGGGCAGGCGCTTTAGCCGGCAGACAGGGCGGGCCTGCCTCAGAGGTGGCATCTGGGCTGCCCTAAGACCGTGGGACAGTCCTTCCAGTCTGGAGGCGTGGAGGTGCCGAGGCCTGAGCTTGTCGCCAGCCTGGCAGGTTCACAGGACAAAGCGGCCGAGCTGCTGCAGCGTGGGAAGGGTGGTGGCAAGGGAGGCCTGCGGGTAGGAAGAAGGCCCGCGGAGAGTGTGGATTCGGAGCTCTGAGCACAGGGATGCACAGGGATGGGGAGGGAGGGGCTGGAGCCGAGGCGGGGCACCCGCGGCTGGAGTGGGGACGGGCTGCCAGGCGTCCCGCTCGGAGGAGGCTAGTCTGCTCTCCAGTGTGGAGCGGCCCCTCCGGCCGCGGCGCCCCTGAGCTCGCAGAGCCCGGCAGTGCCACCGCCCGGGACTGCCAGGTGTGCACGCCGGGGAGCGGGGACGCAGAGAGACAGGTGAGATGGTTGGCCCAGGGGGCCCAGGAAACTGCGGTTACAACAGGGACTTGAACCTACAGGGTGTGTGTGATGGAGCCGGGGGTCTAATGCTGGACCTCTTTCCCCGTCAGGACCCAAAATCACTTACAGACTCGCCCAGAACCACGTTTGCCCCGTCTCTCGAGTTCCTCTGGGAGGGGTAATGCGAGGGCATTTTATTCATTCGTTCACTTTAATTCAGTCCTGGGCACTGGACCGCTACAGCTCTGTGGCACACTCAGCGGCTCTTGTCCCCGCCTCGCTGGGATGGACTTGCCGTCTCCCACCGTGCAGGTCTGAGGGGCGCACAGCGACTTCGCTTGTCTGCGGGCCAGCGCCGGCTGCATGTGCGCGGCGAGGCCCTTGGAGGCCTGCTGCCTCGGCTCCCCCCGGCAGGCACCGTGTCGCTGCCTGGTCCCCATGCCGTGTGTCCCATCCCCACAGCCCATCCTCCCTGGAGCTGGAAGCCCGTGCCCTCGGCCCCGCCCCCCCCCCCCGCGCCCTCCCTCCTCTCCCCGCCCCCCAGGGCCGGACAGCTACCCTTCCGATGAGTCTGGTTCTCGTAGACCCCAGCTGAAGTGAAGGCGCACACCGCCCGTCTCTCTGCCTGGCCGGCCTCGCTCAGCACAAGGCCCTCCGGGCCGCCCACGCCGCGCAAGCAGCAGGCCTCCTCCCGGGCCGTGGCTGCGTCCTCCCCACTGCCCGTGGGGCCCACAGCTTCCTTGCCCAGTCGCCTTGATCCAGGCGGCACTCAGGTGGCTGGGACTGCACGGCCATGGGGCGCAGGTGTCTCTTCACGATCCCATCCCTCAGCGACGTCTCCTTCAGAGAAAACCCGGAAGTGGGACTGCTGGTCTCATTTCCTGAGGAGTCTCCACGCTGTTTTCCATGGAGGCAGCGTGGTTCCTGCGCGTTCTCCCTCGCTGTGGAGACCAGCGGTCATGTTCCACCCGCTGCCCTCATCTGTCCAGTGGCCTCACAGCCGAGCCAGCCCTACCCGGGCCCCGTGTGCCCATCCCCCGTCACACCCTGGTCCCAACAGCGGCCCCGCCTGTCACCGCCCTGCACTGGCCGGCCCGTCAGCCTTCCTCCGCACGTGGGAGAGCGTCGGGCCCAGACGGCGCGCCGCGGCCGCTCGCCAGGGCTGGGCAGCCAGGCGGCTCTGCCGCGGCTCTCCAGGGAGGGGGCACGTGCAGGGACACGAACTTTCAGACTCGCTCGCTCTGGTTCAGAAACTGCGAAGAGCAAACCCACATCCAAGGACGCTGATGGAAGAAGTCAGGCTCTGGGAGAACTTAGGCCTTTAGGACAAGTGTTCACTGTACAAAGTTTCTGCCATTTTGCATCGTATTCAATGCCATGATCACTAGCCTTCCCCCAAGCCTCCGGTGAGCCAGGAACACAGGTCCCGTGCCAAGGACAAGCTGGTCAATGTGCTTCTTTCTCTCCGGGGGCAGCAAGCGACTGGGACACGGCCCGCCTGCGCTGCCAGTCGTGTGAGCTCTCAAATCCGGAGACAACGCCCTCCGTGGACCCTGAGTGCTGACTCTTGGGTTGGGAAATGTGGTCTCAGTATCCATGAGATGCTGGAGACGGGGCGCTAGGACCCTCCCTGCGCAGCTGAGGAGTGGCCAGAGTTACAGCGAAGGCCTTGGAGGGACACGGGAAGAGGGCAATGCCCAGCCCAGCCCCAGGGCTCAGCTGGGCGGAGGTTCTGTGGCGCCCAGGCTCCTCCTCACGCTCCACCCCCCAGCACGGTGCACACCGGCCCGGCCCCCTACCCGCCTGACCACGCCCTGCGTCCTCTTCCCCAGGATGAAGCCAGCAGGAAGCGTCAACGACGTGGCCCTGGACGCCTTCGATTTGGACCGGATGAAACAGGTGAGCGTGTCCGTTCCTGAGAGGCGTGAAGGAGCCAGAGGCCAGGGACCACCTGGGGCGCGCGTGGGCAGGCAAGGCCCGGGGCCCTCCCGGCTGCAAATCAGGCAGGGAGCCAGCCATGGAACTCGGTCGCAGCGCCTGTCCCAGCCTGTGCTGTCGCAGGGACAAAGCGTGTCTCCGCCGGTCTGGGCCCTCCAGAGCGTGCCTGGGATGTGGGGGGCTCTGGGGCTGGCCAGGGCCCCCCCCAGGCACACTCCACCCTGGAGCGAGGCCCAGGATGCTGCTTCAGACACACCGCCCTTCCCGCTGCCTGCCCCTCACAGAGGCTCTGCTCCCGCAGGAGATCCTGGAGGAGGTGGTCCGAGAACTCCACAAGGTGAAGGAGGAGATCATCGACGGTGAGCCGGGCGCAGCCAGGGTTCCTGCGGCAGGGCCTTTGGTGCTGTGCTTGGGAGGCTTTATTGTCCCCTACATCCTACATGGCCCTCCCCACACTCCAGTCAGCAGGCTGAGGCTCAGACAAGCTAAGGGACTTGTGGCACCAGAGTCTGCCGTCCCCACGCCCCAGACTTGTCCGGAGTCTCGAGGCGCACCATGGTAGCCATGGCAACTGCAGAGTGGGTGGGGAGGTGATGGAGAACATCCTCCGAAACCCAGGGCAGCCAAGCGGCCTCAGTGCTTGCTTCTCTTCGTCTGTGGACTTCGGCTGACTTTTTTTATTCTGCTCCCTCTCCGGGGAGGGCTAGAGGGGCCCAGAAGTCAGCGTTACCTCATGGGCCCAACCTAGTTCGCAGCCTGCCCGGGGAGCTGGGGAGCGGGCGGGTGGCTCAGATTCCAGAGTGCACAGCCCCATCGCCGCGGACCCCCTCCATTCCGGCTCCCACCGGAGCCTTGGATGCCCTGGCTCAGATCTGGGCCTGGGGACAGGGAGAGGTCTCCTCAGGCAGGCTGGCATGGCCCTGGGGCGGGAGACAGCAAAGTCACACCTATGGCTGGTGACAGAGAGCTGCCTGGACTCTGGAGAGAGAGGAAGCCAGGGTGGGAGCCCACCTGGGGCGCCCACAGAGCCAGACCCCTGTCCAGAGCAGAGTGCCCAGGCCACACCCTGTCCCAGCCCCAGCAGAGCACACTCGGTTCCTGTCTGTCCAGTCCCCCGCAGGCCTGAGCTGGACAGATAAGGAGATAATAAACAGAGCAAGACACAGCTGGAGCCAGAACAGAGGCAGAGGCCAGCCATTACCTCGGCTTTACTGCTGGGCGACCCCCCAGGAGGGGCTGCCAGTGCGCCCTGGGAGGGCCAGGGCTGCCGGAGGCTGGCAGCCGCCCGTGTGCCGAGGCGGCCAGCGGGGCGGAGGCCACCCGGAGTGCGAGCCCTGCCCTCCCACTGCAGGCGCCGCCACAGGTGGAGCTGCCTCTTGGTGGCCGAGCAGTGCGGGGCCCCGGGAAGCTGCCCTCCTTTCTCCGTGACGACCCAGCCCTCATCGAACTTTTTCTCTTGGCCTTTGGCTCCAGGCCCAGCCGGGTCTGTCCAGGAAAAGGCCTAAATCTGCAGGGACTCCCAGGGGTGGGGACAGGAGGAAGCCGAGGAGAAGAGCAAAGCCCCTGCCCCTCCCGGAGATCAGGCCAGGGACTGGGGCAGTTGTCGTCCGCCCTGCTCAAGGCCGTGGGCTTCCTGCTGCCACAGTCGGGGCGGGGCTCCTGGGTCCTCTGAGCAGAACCAAGAGGTCCACCTGTCCCGGCCTGTCTGGGGACCCTGCTGCCTGCCTGCCAGCCCCTCCCCAGCTCCTAGGCCTCGTGCAGGCCATCCCCCGACCCCTGCCTGGTCTTGTAACGGCGACCGCCAGCTGCAGAAATGTAGTGACACCCACAAAACCCGCACCTGTGTCCTGTGCGCCTCTAGCCTGGGCCTCTAACCTCTGGGAGCCTGGGTGGGGCACTCCGGAGAGGGCAGGCCCCCGGGAAGGACCGCCCCGGGGTGTGGGGACAGGGCCCTGGGGGACGAGGGCCAGGCTGGTCCCGGCCACACCTGAGCCTCCCCCTCCCGCCCTGTCCCTGTCCGCAGCCATCAGGCAGGAGCTGAGCGGGATCAGCACCTCATAGGCGCGCAGCCCCCGCGCCCAAGATGTGTCCCCCCGTGGACGGCGGGGGACAGTGAGGAGCCCAGCCGGCCCGGCCGCCAGCACGCGAGCACGCACTGAAGCTGGGATGTGCTTCATTTACAGTCTTAGCCTGTGATAAAACATTAAAATGAGGAAAAAGTTCAAGTCCTGGATTTTTTAGATTCTACCTGACACAACACCAGGTCTACTCACCTTTTTTTGTATTTTATATTTGTCTATTTAAGTGTACATTTCTTTTGGTTTATAGAGAAGACACCCCCAAATCACGCGCTTCATTAGGTGGTTCCGAGTTTGCTCCGGGGTGGCGCTGTCAGCACCTGGGCTGGCGTGGCGAGCCGTGCGCGCTCAGCGCCTTCCCAGGGTCCTGTGCGAAGGTCTGTGCACGCTCCACGGTGTCCGTGTCCACGTGTAATAAACGCTTACTGTCCACACGCCCGGCTCCGTGTGCTCCCTCCCGCCAGCTCTGGGACGCCGCTTTGGGCAGCGCCCACGACAGTGGAGACCAGGAGTAGTGGGAGCGGGACGGGGGCCTGGGGGAGGGGCAGGGGTGGCTCAGGCTCTTCCTGTGGGTCCCGCGGAGGCCTCGGGAGCCACGCCCTCGGGGGAGTGGGAGGCAGCCCCGGGTGGCGCCCGGCCTGGAGCTCGTGTGCATTCAGCCCAGCGGGGCCGGGAGGACGTGCCGGTTTGACCCCCCACCGCATCAATGGGGCGCCGCAGGGGCGCCCCGCCAGGGGCACTTGCCAGCCCTTCAGACCGTGCGAGTTCCCCAGTGTAGCCAGGGAGGGCCTGACTCGGCCCAGCCCCCAGCAGGCCTCAAAGCCCAGTGACCACCCACGGCCACCTTGGACACAACAGCGTGCCCCGCGCCCGGCCCCGCTGTCCCCTGAGGGCCCCGGGAGGAGGGGTGAGGCAGGGGCCCAGTCTAGCACATGGCAAAGGGTCTGCTGTTTTCTGGACAGGCTCTGTACGTACTTCATCCCATAGAGGGTCCCCAGCAACCCTAAAGGACGGGAAGAGGACTGTTCTGTCCATTGGGAGGCCAGCCCGAGGCTCCAACCTCTGAGTGGCCGGCCCCAGGCCCAGAGACGGTTTTAACAGCTTTCTCCTGCTTCCTTCCACCTCCCAGGGGTGGGGGTCCTGCAGCCTTGCACCTGGGCGCGGAGGGGCAGCCCAGGGGCTGCTGGGAAGGATGCCTCCCAAGGTCAGCTGGGCCACCAAGCCCCTCTGGAGTCAGGACAGCCATGTCCCCACAGAGACACCAAGGACACCAGCCCGCTTCTCTCTGACCTGTAGTCACCTGCCCATCCAGCCACCGTGCGCCTGGCCTGTGGCCCCTGTTCTGAGCTGGTGGGGGAGGCAGACCTCAGGGACTCAGGGGAGGCTCCCCCAGGGGCAGGGCTCCAGGTGACTCAGGGGGGTTGAGCCCCAGGAGCCGGTAACCTAGACCAAGGGGAGGCAGCGCCCAGGAGGGCAGAGAGGAGGCTTCAGGGCCATGTGGACTTGCAGGGACCTTCTACCGCCTGCACCCCCAAAGGCTAGCCCTCCACAAAGTGTGGGAGCAGCCGCTCTCCCCAGGGAGTGGGAGCAGGTGGGGTATGGCTTTGGGACCACCTCCAGGGCCGGCCGGGGGCCTCACTCTCAGACCCAGGCTGGAGCCGAAACTGCCCCACCCCCTCAAAAATCAGGCCTGTGGCTGTGGAAACAAATGCTCGTTTAATTTAGGGCACGGGAACACCAGAGGAAGGAGCACAGAGCACGCAGGGCAGGCCCAGCCCCGTGCGGCCCAGAAAGGGAGGGCCTGGCCTGAGGTCAACAGCGAGTCCACAAGCAGACCAAGCTTCCGCAGGCCACAGCCCGTGCCCGCCACCCCCCAGTGCAGTACCGGGGACCTGGGAGACAAGCGACAGCCCAGGGTTCAGGGACCAAATGCAGCCAACCCCGCTCTGGGCACTAGGCCAGGGGCAACGGTGACGGCAGCTCCGCAGCAGGGGGGCGGGGGCGGCGAGGCCAAGCAGCCAGCCAGACAGGGCACAAGCAGGGTCCGGCCACTCCAGGCACCGGCAGGCCCGGCTCACAGGCGGTTCCCTGACAGCTTGCACACCCGCTTCACCCTGGCATAGGGCCCCAGGGAGTCCTCGAACACAAAATCCCAGAGCACCTTCACCCACGAGTGGTGCTGCGGCAGGTGGTCGTAGTACTCGGGCGCGATCTTCCGCACCTGCGGAGGGGGGAACGGGTCAAAGGCCGCACCTTGGTACCAACAGGCCCCTGCCACGTGTGCGCACGGGAGTGTGCACACACACAGGAACACAGGTGAGCGTGTGCACACACACGTACACACGCTCACCTGTCACCCCCGGGGCCCGCGCCAGCCCAGCCAGGCAGGAGGCTGGTGCTGGCCATCCATTAGCCCAGGGCCCTGACGGTCTCGGCCCACCCCCGGTTCAAAATGCACCTTGCATCCTTGGGGCCCATGCTGGAGTTTCTGGCCCAGGAGCCTGGGGTGGACCGCACGTCCCTCCCTCAAGCTCCCTCGAGTCCTGAGGCCCAGCCTGGCTTGAGCCACGCTGTGCGGTGGTCACGCCCACGCTGCTCTTCACCCGCTGCCAGCGCCCTCCCCAGCCCCGGCTGCCAGCCTCAGTCCTGCCATTTCCCAGGCGCCGGCCCCGGGCCCCCTCCCCTTCCAACTCCCTGCCCCCATCTGGGCCCGAGAGGCTCCCTCAGCTGCCTCCTCCAGGAAGTGCTCCCAGCCTCAGCACCTGCCCTGCTGGCCAAGTGCACGGGGCGGGGGTTGGGGGGCAGCCTCCATTCCCCCATGGAGGACACCCCACGGCTGGGGCCTACACTACAGGTTTCAGCGGCAGCTGGGGCTCAGGGAGACGAGGCAAGCAGGGAGCGTTCACCCTGCTCAGGAGTCAGGAGGCTGAGCGACCAGCTCGGGTCCAGATTCTGGCTCTGCTGCCTCCCATGGTGGGCACCTCCCCTCCCTCTCCAAGCCTCTGCCTTCTCGTCTGTGAAATGGGAACAAGTGCACCTTCCAAATCAGCTTGTGGCAAGGCTTCCATGAGACAGTGCCCGACACAGGGCAGGGCCTCAGTGCCTTCCGCAGGATCGGAGCAGGGAGGGGAGGGCGGGGGCTGCTCCCCCAGACAAATGCTCACGGAGCCACGTGCACACACGGGGCACGCACAGACACACGTGCAGCACCCACGCGCACATGGAAGACCTCACTGCCCCGCTCCCCTCCTGCCCCCAGTACCAGGGGCACCTCAGCTCTGTCTGACCCACCCATGCCAGACCGAACAACTCCTCCCCATCTCCTCCCCCTTTCCTTCCTCCCTCAGAAATTCTCCATCCGCAGGTCCCCCCAGGCAGAGCCACCAGTGGGAGACCTCCACTCTGCACAACTCGGGCGAAGCCCTGGGAGTCACAAAGCCTGCCCAGTCTTCTTGGTGCCACATGGGGCCCCTAGGAAGTCACAGGGCAGTGACAGAAAATAAGCAGGAACAAAGGGTCAGGAGCCAGGAAGGGGAGGTGCTTTCCACACACGATCACTTCTGCTGCCCCATTTTCCAGAAGCGGAAGTCAAGGCACAGAGAGGGCAAGCGGTCCCCCCAGGGGTGCACAGCTAGCACATGTCCTCGCTGGGCTCAACCAGGTTTCCACTTCACTCAGTGATCTAAACAGCAAACGCACCCTGCCCTCCCAGGGTGCACCTCCTGGTTCTCCAGCCGGCGCTCACCTGTACGTAGGGCCTTTCCCTTTGCCCTGGGGGCCACGGCTGGGAACGTAGCCACCCCGTGATCGGCACGAAAGGCACAGGAGGTCAGGGCCTGGGCCCAGGTCCCCCACCATGCCGCCCCACCCCCTCAGACCCCGCGCTCCCCTGGCCGCCGCGCCCCAGCCTGCGGCCACGTACCAGGGGCAGGTTGCAGCCGGGGATGCTGGGGAAGTCATGGTGCTCCATGTGGTAGCCCACGTTGAAGGTGATCCAGTTGAGGGGCCCATAGTAGGAGTAAGTCTCATGGCCCTTGAGGAACATGTAGTGCTCAGCCACAAAGTGGCCGGAGATGGGGTGCAGGCCCAGGCCCAGCAGGGAGCTGGCCAGGAGGTAGACCACGGGCTTGAGCCCCCAGAGGGCGAAGATGGTCAGGTCGGCGGCCAGCTGGACCAGGGCATTGAACACCTCCATGCGGGTCAGGGCCTTGGGGTTCACGCAGAGCGGCCGCAGCGAGTAGAACAGGGGCTGCAGCGCCAGCCAGAGCAGCTTGCGGGCCGGCGTGCAGAAGAGCCAGCCCTCCAGGCGCGTGGGCACGTCCACGTCCAGCCCGTCGCCGCCCAGGTAGCGGTGGTGGTCCACGTGGTACTTCTTGAAGGAGGCGGCGTAGGGCACGCCCACGGGCAGGTTGGCAAAGATGGCGAACCAGCGGTTGTGGGCGGCGCGGCCCGTGCCGAAGGCGGCGTTGTGCGAGATGTCGTGGATGGCCAGCGTCAGCGAGTGGTTCACGCAGCCGCCAAAGGCGTAGGCCCAGAAGAGCAGCCAGCGCCAGGCCAGCCCTCGCACCAGCCAGCAGGCCAGCAGCTGCGCCAGCACCAGCCCCAGCACCGTCCACTTGAGGTGAGGGTCCGGCCGCATCAGGGCCTTGATGGCCGGGTACTTGGCTGCGGGTGGGAAGGAGAGAAGGTGGTGAGGCGGGCCCCAGCCCCGTGCTGTCTCCCTCCCTGTCTCCCTCCCTCCCTCCCTCCCTGGGGTGTCTTGCTGGCTTCCCTCCGCCCCGCCCCCCTCCACCAGCCGCTCAGCCTGTGGGCAGTGATGAGGGATAGATCCGCCCATCCCGCCCCTTGAGGACCAGGCTAAGACTTGCCCGTGCTCGGCCCTGGGGGCTCAGAGACAGGCCGGCCTGCCCACCCCACCTCGGGACCCTGGGGCCGCTTCCCAGGGCGCAGGTCTTCGCCACCAGCCTAAATAAAGAGCAAGTGTCACCACGGGTCACAGAGACATGCTGTCAGAAATCAAGGCAATCTGGCCAGTGGCTCAGTTGCTTAGAGCGTCCCAATATGCCAGGTGCCGGGTTCAATCCCCAGTTGGGGCACCAAAAAAACAAAAACATCAATAAACTTCTAAAAACTTCTTTAGAGAAATCAAAGCAGCTGCAGAGGCAGGAGCTAACACAGCGCCCAGGGGACCCACACACGCCCGAGCGGACTGGAGGCCCCAGCGGACCTGGGAGGGGCCGGGCAGTGGGGGAGGGGAACACGGAGGGCTTCTGGCTTGCTCTCAAGTGTCTCAGTTCTTAAACAAGGTCTGACGGAAATACGATAAAATGGCCAATGCGTTTATTTTGGAAGGTGGGTGTTTGTTATGGTATCTTTTGTACTTTTCCATGTTACAGAGAAAG